CTGACGTATCGTATATTGAACTTTGACATCGTTTCTCTATATTTTTTCGCAGGCGTACCTATGCCTCTAATAATAGTGATTAACACCACGCGGTACGCGCATGAGACTGAAAAAACTTTATAAGCGATTACTGCGGCAATTTAAGTCGCAATGAAATTAATCGGTACAAATCGTACAAAATCAGTGAAAATAACGTTTGCAACACTGCAGAGGCGTTCAACATTCGCGAGTTATTTATGATAGGTGGGTACATTTTTCTAAACGAAAAACATTTACGTCTAACGAATATTTTTGCGATTTCTCGAGTCGACGTGTCGTCCCGCGGTGACCAGCACATCAGCCTGGCGGGTTATATTTGTATAAGTATATATAGGGTATACACGTTTAAAAGTTTTGTTTTCGAGGGGCGGGCGGTAAGGAGAGGTCACTAATGCACATATAGGTGTAGCAAGAAATGTGTGTGTGTTTTTTTTTATAGCTGTATGGTATGGTAGACGTGCTTATTTTCGGATTTTAAATATTTAAATATGTTTGTTGTTATTTTTTCAAAGAACATCCGAAACCCTCTTGCTCTAACAAAACCTTATCAGTCCGAGAATATTGAACTGACCTCTTCGTTATGGCATCTGTTAATGGGATCGGCGTTCGTTTTTCTTTTATTGTGTTTCGCGTTCAGTATTGTTCACATTGTGTTTATACCGTTTGTTTCATCCAACTCGTTCTAATACGAACGTATTGATTCTGCCTTTAACACCACATTGTCATGCTGCACGGCCTCCTCAAACATATGCAAATACGTTTCGACATCGTGCGCAGTTACCTCCTTTGCTAGGAAAACTCCCTTAGCTCACACCTTGTTGCGCTACGCACGTTGCTTTTGTACGGATTTCCCGCCGTCCGTAACAGTGCCGTCCAGCGTCCAGACTCTAGGCAACGCTTGAAGCGGTTTACGCGTTCTCGATCGGTATATTGATGTCTGTTGTGTGCCGTTTTTGGAGCTCACGTTTATATTTTCTGCGCCGAATTCGTTTACACACGGGCCCGTGTCCTTCGAACGAATAACGCCGTACCGTACGTCTATTGAGTTTTATATTTGAATGTTATAACTCGCTATTGTTGTTGCGACGGTATGACGCGATACAGTACCGAGTTTCAGTCGTTTTATTACGACTACTACTGACTGACAGCGACATATTCAGAGGGGGTTGGAGGATTATAACCACCCCGAATCCCTTTGACCGTTTTTGATTCACGTGCGAATATACGCATGTCCTATCCGTTACTTCTTCGGGATCCCCCGATACCCACCTACGCCACTTGTATGTTAACTATTTGTGTTCACCGGTATATTAAGTGTTTTCGGCGGCGGCCGAATAATAAAATTATTACGAGACGGCGCGATGCGTTCCGTCCGTACGGCGGCGGCGCGGCGAACGGGGCGAACGCCGTTGGAAATTTCGCATACAATATGCGGACAGGAGAAAACAACAATTTAACATACAATAATTAGTGTTTCGCGGCGACGGGGGGATAGAAAAAAAAAAAAAAACAAGTAAAAATTGGGTCGGGCGAACGCGCATTAATTTTCGGTTTCTCGGGTCGTCCTGCGGTGCATTACATCCGCCGCCGTTTCCGAAACGTGCACCCGCCCATGCGCCCGCCGTGCACCTACCCGCGGGCAGGCGCAATGTCCGTCGATAGCGCATACCGCGACCGCGGTTACCGGTATAGTATCACAGCAGCTACTCGCCGCCGTACGCTATCCATTATTATTATTATTATTGCCCCGACACGTCCGTGCAATATGAAAATAATAATGATAATTCGTCTTTTTGGCTCGACGACACTTAAATTCCGTTCAGGTGCCATCCATCACACGGCGGCCGCCGCGGACGGCGGTTTCACTTCGGACGTCGTGCGCGCGATATGACGTGCTCGGCATTTTCGGTCGTTTATTATTATTACTATTATTATTTTTTTTTTTTTTTTCGAAACAGTAGGTACGGTATTGGTTGTAAAGTATTCGCCTACTGCCTGACCGCCGCCGCCGACCTATTATTCCGTCCGATTCGTATACAACATTTATTATCATTATTATTATTACTGCGACGCGTGTTTACGTTTCGCGCCGTCCGGTATCAGGCGGGTGTATTAATAATGCGGTGTTTTCTTCGACAGAGACAATCGCGTGTTATTATTGTTGTTATTATTATTATTATTATTAATGCGACGCGGGGAGAAACGCGGATTCAGTAGCATTTCACTTTATAAATCCGCGACAAATTCAACGCAGGTCCCGACGCCGCCGCGGCCGACGACCTACACAACAATATACCTACCGAATGCAATATACACCATGGGCATGTTCAGTGGCGCGTTAAGGAAAACAATTTTTTTTTGCGAGGCGAGGCCAATGTTTCTGTGCTCGCCGTCGACCCTGGCCGTTGTACCGGGCCCTTCTAATGACCGAATCAGCAACCAATCTTATTACCGATATCTGCTATAATGTATAGGCACTAGGCAGTTTATTACAGTGGCGGATTTTCGAGATTTCTCCGGCGGGAGTCCTGGAAAATCATATGAATCCCAGACATTTCCCTTAATAGACGCCTCGTTTTAGACGAAATTTCATTGAAATTATCCGAACAATCCGAATCCACCCGGCCCCGCCCCCCAACCCCCGTATATCCACAACTCATTGCTTCAAACTCACCGTGGTGATACTCGTTATAAACAACGGTTTTGTTGTTTTCACAACTTTGCCGGTCGGTGTTATCGGGCATACGAGGGCTGCCCCGCACATCCTTAGATAATATCTATAATTTGCAACATTGAACTTACTTACTGAACTGTTGTTACCGACAAACAACGATTAACGCATCGTTAAGTTAGCCCACGGATGTTGTAGATAATAATGATACAATCTTTAATTAATGAAAAACAATTATGTAGATAGTTTTGCTTTCATTTATTTCTCTTGGGTGTCGAAGTAATAATATTTTGTATACTTAGGTTTTTCATCGTTGTATTCGTATAAAACGTATCTCATAGTTTTGCGCGCTAAAAATAACTGTTTAAGTGTTCATTACGACGGAAAAAAGGTAGAATTTTTTTCGATTTTTAGTTTGAATAAAAAAAGGTAAGTAATCCAATCCACGATTCACGAAATTCTAATTTTGATTGATCTCTGGATTTTTTATCACTCTACCGGTTTAGAAATTGTATTTTGCTACCCAACATTTTTATAGTTACCAGCTAAGTATTAAAGTTCTTTATTCATTCTATTGTATATATTTTATGTCTATTATCAATCAGAACCAAGAATGCATCTACTTTATTTTTTAAACTTGTGACAAAACAACTGATTAATTATAAATTTGCAAGCCCCCCCCCCCTCATAATTGTTTATTTTTGTTTATGCGCGAGTTACCTTGGTAACGTGGACGACAATTGTCAATTTGGTTATCACGGATCAAAAAAAAAAAACCATTATTATCACTATTATTTACACTATAATCTAGTAATGGAAAAGCATCGCGGGGTCAGCTAGTGTTTACATAAATAATGTTTAAATCAATAACGTCGTAAATATTTCTCTGGTTTTCTTGATAAATGACAACGGTAATAACTAATAATATTCGACGAATAACATTTTCAGGTCACCAAATACATCAATCATTTTTATCGTATCCCTGATTAATGTAATCTTGACTGACGTACAACAATACTTTGGACAAACAACACCTTTCCTTTGTCGCGATTGGGGAATTTCCGAAAATCTTTTCTAAAAAGATAAAATTAACTAAGAAATATGTTGACACATATGCTTCCTATCAAAAAGACCAAAACATTTTTTATACTAAACGTTTTTCTGGGTATACCTACGTATTTTATACTCAGCGTCATCAACCACATCACAATGACAGTTTAGATTCGTCATCCACACGTGTGCTGTGATAATATAACGCAAGACTACGTTTTAAAATGACATCCTAGGTTAAAGGGGTCGGGTGCGGCCACTGTTATAACTTATAAGTAATTCAATGTACACCTGTGAGCAACGATGAACCATTGGTAACGAAAAAAACGATTCTTAGCGGAGTTCAATTGATAGTGCTTCTTTGTCAACAACACATACGTCATATAATGGTAAAATTGCAATTATTCGAATTCAAAAATTAAGATGGATCCCGTTTTTCCTTTCGATTTTTCACATTTGTTGTGAAAACAGAAAATCGAAAAACGACCTCTCTAAAGTACCTCCCTAGTGAAATTTCCTTTCAGAAAATTTGCTATCATTATAAGTTAGAGCAAAATTTCTGGTAGAAAATTTGTGCACAGGAAAAACAAAGGCCATATTTTCAGATAATACCTACATTTCTGACATTTCTCCGTTTTTACAAATTTGTTGAAAAAACTCCTGAAAAAATCGAAAAATGACCTCTTTAAAGTATCTTCCCACACCAATTTTCTTTTAGAAAAGATGCTACACATAAAAAGTAAACATCTTTGTAAAACCATGAGTTTCTTTGCTCCACTCAGAATCTGAAAAATAATAAAATATAATATTGGAACCTAATAATAATCATTTAAATGCAAAAAATGACACAATAGAGTATAGGTTGAGTAAGGTACCTATAAAAAATAAATATGTGTTCACAAAATTGTCAGAAAAAAATCAGTAAATGTTCGGAAAATTATCAGTTAATGAGATCGTCACTATCCCATATGTTTGTTATTTATTTATTTGGCCAACCCAGTTTTTCCTATAGTGATATTATTTTAAGCCGGTAATAATTTACTGGAATTCTTTATATTATTAACAACCATTTTCTTAAACAAAAATATGAATGAAGACGTTAGATAGTATGGCGGTACTGATTTTATTAAGTATCTTCATTTTTCATTGTACTTTAATACAATTACTTAATTGAAAAATAATTTCTATATCGAACAAAAATTACTTAAAAAACAGGATATCATGTTTAACACAAAACATACATACTAGATACGTTATGTTAAAGTTAACTATATTATTATCAATTAAATAAGTAAAGCATATTGACTCTCGGGCCATTCTGTATAATATGAACCGACAAACTTTTGGTGCAAACAATCAGAACACCGAATGAGAGGGAGTTGGGGGAAGAAAAACAACAGAGTTTTATGGTGGTAAAAGGCGGTGCCTCTATACCCTATGCCTAAACATTTATTTTCGGACAATGATGAATCTAAAAAGAAATATACATAGTATTTTTTGTTTGACAATAAACATGATGAAACAGTAAAAACAACTAATTTTATAAACTAAAACATTAAAATAGGTAGGTAAGGTATACATCTATAACTGATTAACAATTACAAAAAAATATTAAGTAGATTTAACACAAATAACATTTATAAGTAGGTATTGTAAATATTGTTTGGATTATCAAAATTACAAACAAATGTTTAACATGTTTACTTGCACAATAAGTAGCTTAGCATTTTTTTTTTTGTTCGTAGACGTTTCATTAAAATCTGTTATTATCGAAAATGTATTAAAAGTTATAACATCTTATCATTATCTAAATAACAATATTATATATGGCACTAAATACAAATAATTAATTCTTTGTATTCGATGTTAATCCACTTATGTTAAACATTGCTCATGTATAATATTATTTATTAGTTTCTAGCTTATACATTATAAAAAATAAAATTAGAAAAAAAAACTGATATTTTAGGGCACTCTAGTTTATTAAGTTGTTATCCACATAATTACCAAAAAAAAAGTATTCAAATGTAATTATCAAGCATCCAAATACAGCATAAACAGGCGTGCATTGAGCATGTTTATCTCTTTCTCCAACATAGGACATTTGAGCGCAAATCGTTAACCTATAACTTAAACAATTATTTTCCTAAAACTAATTACACTATTCAGAACATTTGATATTTGCTCATTCAACATCACCGTTGCACTCAGTCTGTTGAAAATAGTATTTCTATCCACTATAAAACTATTCTCAGAGAACAATAATCCCTAAAGTAATTGTATACTACACTATTATTATCACAAAACAAAATACTTTTTTGTTTGGTAGTCATGCGGAAAAACTACACTGATATTCATTGACTTCATTATAGTCAATTACAAAATCAATACCAGTGCCCTGTTTATAAAAAGTATTTAATGGTGAATATTTTTCTAAAATAACATAAATGGGGGGAAAAAAAATTCACAAAACAATACTATTTTAAAAGGAACATTGATACACATCACACTGAAAAATAAGTACATATTTTTGACAATAATGGAGGGTTACAACAGCAGAAAGGGTAAGTGAATTAATTATCTTTATCGTATAACAAGATACCCATAACAAAATTATACATAGAAAATTTAACAGAAATACATTATTAGAAAAAGAAATAAAACACAATAATCAAATAATAATCACACAGTTAAAAGCCTAGTATAGTATTGTATTATAACGTACAAATTAATGTGTCAAAATTTTTTAAATACTTTTACGAATAATAATATGGTATAATAACAAGAAAAAAATTAATAGTTGTTAACATTAGTATTGCACACACAAACACATATTATGAAAACAATAATAAAAATCTATCCAGAAAATTAAAATTTGAATATCCAGTGAACTTCTGTGAAATTAATATATTATGCAAGTTTTAAAGGATGATTGATATTTGGTCAACGTGTAAAAATACAAAAAAAAAAACTAATTTATCTATTACACACAGATTATTCCTATTTTAACAATGGACAATGATAAATAGCTTGTTGGTCACAGTATTGGGTTAAAAATAAATTAATCAAAATAATTTATTCACAAATTTATTAACTTTATTAAAAACTTTCCTGAACTTACACTTACTAGTGGCCCCTTTTATTTTAGCCCGGACCACGGTATGATGGTCTCATTCATTTTTGGTTCGATCGGGTTGTTTGTCCCAACCCTCACCTTCAGGGTCAGAAGTAGCCTCTTCCAGAGAAGCCAAATTTGGTTTGCTAGAAACGTCTTGATTAAAAAAATCATCATCTTCAAATGGGTCTGTATTCCTAGAAAATATATTTATAGATTCCGACTTTTTCATCTCTTTGGGTGAATTTGATACTTCGTCTTTGGGAATTTTTACTTCTTTAGATGTAAAACCATCATCATCTTTAAAACTAAATTCACTAGAAACACTGTCTTTGGTGGCATTATCTGGAGTAAAATCGTCTTCAAATGGAGAACGCTTTGTTACTTCGACTTTTGAGTTTGAATCTATAGACCTGTGCCCGCTATCAGAACGTTTGGGTCTTCTCATATTTTTATTAATTTTAGAACTAATGGACGGAGAGGGCTTTGTGAGGTAACCCAAATCAGAACAAGTACTCATTGTTTTTGTAAATACAGAAGAATCAGGACTGTCGGGTGTAAAGTTATCATCAAAAGGAGATGTTTGATTGCGTTTCAAAGACCACTTACTCTTTGACCTTCTGGACCAATTTTGTTCCAATTCAGATTCACTCAAGTCCAATTCTTCTTGGCTATATGGCTTTCTTGGTGGAATGCTTCGCTCTTCATCACTACCATCACTTCGACGATGATATGGTCTCCTATGTTTTCTAGGTGTAGTTGCTGAACCGTAACAATTTTTTTTTGGTAACCTATAACGCATTTTAACATCTTCTTCATCACTATTATCAAGGGGCGGCGGTCTAGGATAGGTTTTAAATCCTTTAGGAATCGGGGGTCCATATCGATCCCAATTGTAATGCTCTTCTAAATATCTTCTATGTCTTTCATACATTCGCATTTGGTATTTTTCATCTTCCCAATTCGGTGCATAAGGTAATTTTGGTGCTCTTCTGTCAAGTTCAGGCCGGACATAAATTCGTCTTTTGTCATCTTTAGACGGCCTTCTACGATCATCTTCCATATGAGGTACTCGCCAGTGTGGTGCAAACATATAAGGAGGCTCCCATTCATCACTATACCTATTGCCTTCTTCCCAGGGTGACGGTTCACGATGTCTAGGTGATATTTTACGATTACTTTTTCTTTTGTGGTTTCTTTCGTAATAAAGTTCATCTTCGTACAAGGATTCTCTATCGCTCCACCCGTTTTCAGTCCGTGAAAAATCTTCAATTGAACTCTCTAGACTTCTTTTTGCATTGTCCAAATTGTCTTCAGATTCTTCCCAGTCATCCCAACTGGAAGAACATTTACTACGACTTGAAGGTACTTTTTTCAAATTACCTTTTGATTTTGGAATTGATAATTCGTGTTCAGATACGGACCAAGGAGAATTTACATTCTTGATTGCCTCTGGTTCAGCATCAAAAGTTGCCCAGCATTGAGAGTTATCGAAAAGTTTTTGACATGAATTACTTTCAATTTGTTCAGGCTTTTCTATTGCTGTAGAAACATCAGTTAGGGCTTCACATTCAATTGATTCTTTAGTCTCTTCTTTTTTAATGACACTATTTTCATTTTCATTTTCATAATCTTCATCTTCATTTTCATATTCTATTTCATCATCCTCTTCATCATCGTCATTGTTGTCTTTTAAATTTTGATCTTCAATAACTTGTTCGTCAATCATTTTTTCATCTTGAAGATTATAAACTTGTTCGTCATTTAATTCAATATCAAATTGCTCTGAAATATTGTTACTTTGATTTGATTCTAAAGTTTCATCTGCAGGAAAGTGCCCAGTCAATTCTTCTTCATATCTTGGTTCTTTGATAGGAATATCTCTCAAGGCTGCATATTTATCGTTCTCTGTAACTACTACATCATTATTGGTTTCTTTGTCTACATATTCCCTAAAAACAGCGTATTTATCATATAAAGATTCTTCCGATTTCTTCTTCTCTTCTTCAGATTTTATAAGAACACTTGGTGAATCTTCGCTACTATTGGTAGTTAACTGAGACAAACGTAAAGTCAATTCTTGTAAGGTCATTTTAGATAGAGAAGTTGGAGATATTTTTAATTTGTCTGCTAAATCAAAAAACCCTGTTTTCGTTAATTGACTTAATGTTAGATCAAGTGAAGTTACATTTAATTTTGATTCACTGCCAGTTTTTTTCACTGTAACAGGTAATAAATAATATTCTGAATCGAGTTCTTCTTTCTTTTTCTTGTTATTATCATTTTTTGGTTTTCTAGATGGCAGAGGTAATGGCGGAGCTTCACTTTCTTGTTGTGTAGACGGTAAATTGTAGGAACTAACATAATTTTCTATATAATCATAATGACTGTTACGTGTACGTATTGGTTTCACGTTTTTAGAAGGTATTTGCTGTTTTTTAGGAGGTAAAGGTGGAGGCTCTAAAGAAGAAGAAGGTCTTGGTGGAGGTTCAGGTGCAATATCTATTCGTTGGGGTAATGTCATTAATTTCATAATTGCATAATCATCATCAGGCGAAACAGGATCTTCATTTCTATAATAATCCGGACTTGGAGTTTTTCTCATTTTTAGTTTTGGTCTATTTTTAGTCATTAAATTATACTTGGGCGGGGTCGCGATATTGTATGGTTTTTGAGAATCCAGTGGTAGAGACACCTTTAATAATCCTTGAACAGAATTTTGTGATGATGAACTATCACTTTTTAACAACGGAGATTTATGTTGCAATTGTGGTGAAACTGGTTTCAGAGATTCAAACGAAGAAAAGTCAGCAAACTCTATATCAGCTGAATTTGAATCGTGAGATTTTATAAAGTTATCAGTTTTAAATGGATCATCAACAAAGCCACTTGTTTCTTTAAACGATAGATCAGAAGAAAATGAATTGTTCATACATTTAGTAGGCAAACTTTGAGATTGATTATCTGATATTTTTTCATTTTCATGTGCAGCAAGTTGATTTAATATTTTCTTTGGGGGATTTTTGAGTTCTTGAAAGAAATCTTTTTTATCCACATAAGGTTTACTACGACCAGTTCCTAAAGGATCTAATTCTGTAAATACATCAAACGTGTCAGAAGACTTGATTGTAGGACTTGCACGATTGGTTGATTCAGTGACCTAAAAAAAATATATATGAATATGATACTAAACTTTTTTCTCAAGTTGTTCAGTTATTTTAAATTAGAATTGTACACAATAGAATTACATTCATGATTTATTGATAATTCTTCAGAAATTTAAAGAAAAAATTAAAAGTATTATATCAATATAGAAGGATAAATAAACTTTTGGTAATAAGTATTAAGTAGGTATTTTGGAGTAAAAAAACTTACCCTAAAATCAGATTGTTGAAGAGACTGGCGGACTTCACTAGGATTTGTTAAACCGAAAATACTTTCAGTTTCTTTATCAAACCAATGTTTTTCTTGCTGGCCACTCGATGTCACTGAACTGTTTCTAATTCTTCGCTCTCCAGAATTGGGCGGTGGTGGCAATTTAGTTAATGCAACAGTGGGAATAGCAGTGAAAGAATCGCCAAAAGGGTCACCGGATGAAGACGATGGTGGAGTAATACTTTCCATTTGTGATAATCCCTGTTGCAGATTGTTCAGTTCAAGTTCTAAGCTCAAAAGATCATTGGCATTAGGAGTCGTGTTTTTAAACTCAGATTTATCCAAATTTGATAAATCACGATTGTAACGTTTAGAACCATCATCACTACCAGCCTATTGTACAATAAAAACAAATAACATATGAATAAGTATCACATGTTCATCAACAGTAAAATTAAAATAAGAATTTACATGATCATTTTTTGTTGATGTACTAGCAAGGGCTTCTAGGTACAGTCCGCTGACTTTCATAATTTGTTGCTGCCTGGTCATTTCTATTTCTTGTTTTTTTAGTTCAAAAACTGTTTGAAAAAGATCTCTCATAGTTATAACAACCTTAAAGCAAAATAAATATACAAATTAAATAAAACAAACTTTTTGTTAGACAAATGGTTTTAAACAATACCTGACTTGCTGCTTTATCAGTTTTTATCCCAAAAAACCTATGGCCCGTGTCAGGTGAACCAAATATATACCCAAAAGCTCTAGTGTCCACCATATCTTGTGCTATGAATGATATCTTATGTATTGGATGGTGGTATAAACAATCCTTTAATTTTCAATATATTTTAATACTCTAGGTAAAATAACACCACATCATTTTAAACCTTACCCCAGTCTTTTCATCTCTTAATTTAAGTCCGTCAATAGCTACGTTAATGGTGATTCGTTGTTTGTGCTCTCCGGCAGCCCGAATCGCCATTTTTAAATCAAACAGGGCCTCTTGGCACATTCTATCGCCTCTAGCTTCGCTGACTTCCAATATACCAATAAGTTTAGCTTTGAAACTGACTCCATCTCCCATAAACCGTATTGCACCACCTTTTTCTGCTGTATATAAAAAAAAAAAAATAATAATAATAATAATAATAAGAAAAAATCACTGGGAAAAAAAAAAAAAAAAATTTAAGCTCTGAATCAGAGATAATAAATTTATATGGACATAAATGTATCAAAGTAATGAGTATTGCTTTAAATGTTACAATGTCTATCCCAAACTAATCGCGGAGTACAATTGTATTGTTTCTAAATAAATTCAAATACCTAATAATAATAATTATAATAAATTAAATCAAACAAGTTCTTCTACAACAAACGGAAAGAAAAGTATTACAATTTATAAAGGTCGGTCCAGCACGAAAAATTGAATTTAATACCGTCCGACCGGTTTGTTGTAATTTACCATTTTTTTTTTTTTCATAAGAGAACGCAATAAAACTTACATTTGAACGGGCTGGTTTTTCTCCTGAGCGTTTGCATGGCGGCGTACGGGAACGCGCTACGGGTACGCGCAATTAATCGTGTAACGCTACGGGAAAACGCATTTCAATGCGGACGAAAATCGGTTTCTGACAAACGCGCCGCGAAGTGTTTCTGAGCTTTCGTGAGGCTATACGAGCGCACACACGCACACACGCGCGCACACGGCCGGGGCGCACGGTGGGGGTGACACCATCCACCCGGGGGCCGAATTAATCAATATTACGTTCAGTCTGCACGGGCAACATGGCGAAAAAGTTTCTACCCGCGCGCGCCGCCTGATGTAAGGGCTTGCGCGCGAACATTTCTCGTCCGCCTGAACCACCGTCGACGTGCAAAACGGTCTCCGTCGATAAACTACGCAAACAGAAACGGGTGACGGGAAAAAAATACGAGAGAGACAGAGAAAAAAAAAAAAAAAACCTAACGAACGGTAAAACGAGAACGAAAAAGGAACAACCGTTTCGGTCCGTTTTCTACGATCGGGCGAACTATAGCGATTTCCAGGTGTACAAACACGCGGGGCGCACTCCGAATAAGTAACAGCCAATGTACACATTAGGTGTATATTTATTTCGATTTTATTAGATTTTTTTTTTTTTATTATTATTATTGTTTTTTTTTTTTTATTTTTTTTTTTTTTTAACATAAACTACGCAAACAGAAACGGGTGACGGGAAAAAAATACGAGAGAGACAGAAAAAAAAAAAAAAAAACAAAAAAAAAACTCGTAGCGTATTTTTGACGTAATAGTAATAAAAAAAAAATACAACACAATCAATACACTATAACATTTGTATAATTAATCAGTCATTTATTTTACTGGAAAGTTAATTACCTACGTTTTTTTCCCGGTCTAAATCAAATATAAGATAAACAAATGTGGTTATTAATTATTAAATTTCGCGATAGGGAAATAATGTTACGATAATATTATTGGTCTAATTAAAAAAGAATATTGTGTCGGCGCGGCGGCGGTAGTTTAATGTTTTTAGTGTCGAATTTATAAACAGTATCGTGGCGAAGTGAACTGATTCATGACATATTGTTATAAATCTATTACATTTTCGGCTTGTTATTTTACATTTACAATAACCGTTACGAGTGGTTGACACGGGTAATAAATTCGAAACAAAAATCTTTCCAGCGTTGAACAACTAAAAGTATCTGGGTACCGCGTAAACAGTTTTCTAATTCGAGGATATTTCCAATGTCGGTTCATATTTGGCTACACCGAAAATTGTTTACCAATAAAAACTGCGAGAGAAAAAAAAAAAAAAAAAGAACAGACACCCACAAATAACTCGCCGCGCTCAATTGAGAGAATATTGAATTTACTCGCGAAACATTTCGTCGAAAACGAGGCCAAAAAATTGTTACCTTATTTTATTATTTAATAATGGAAATTCGGGCGGCAATTATTAACAGACACTAACCGTGAAGACAATAATTTAATCGACGAAAGATTAATTAAAATAATAATTAATATTTGAGGTGTAGGTAATATTTTTTTTTTATTTTGTAAATTAAGAAAATCGTTTTATCTAATACCTAATGTTTAAAAGTAGCAAATAATACAAAATAGAAGTACCATTATTATTTACTATCTTAAAGCTTTATCTACACGGTTTAATTAGACTGATGTTTATTCCTTATAGAAAAAAAAAAAAAAAATAATAAAAAATAAATATAAAATCACAATATTTTATAACAAAATTATTTGATACCTATTTAATTTATCACTAGATTAATTATAGAACTAATATTGGCACAATATAATAAACAGTTTAATATGTAAACTTTGGCCTTTCAATATCAAATTATAGGCAGTAGTAAGTAAAATTTTATAGGTTCCTACATAATGAAACTATTTTACTTAATTTTTTAATGTGTAATAAATGCTTTTCTATTGGTGGTTAATAATATTGAAATGATTAAATGTACAAGTTTCATGCACTAATAATATTGATACTAATTCAGTAGTTTTTTTTTTTTTTTTTTTAAATTGATTATACATATGCACGTTTATTTTAAATTAATAAATAAAAAATATGTACATTATGCACTTGTACGTTTAATTGTGTTTTGATTTTATAAACTTATATATTTTGAAAGAAGGGCGAAAACAATCCAATAACAACAGATCAAATATAATGAAATATGTTGATAATAAAAACGTAGATCGATACACTGTGCTGTGCAATGGTGTTACTAATGTGGCACGTTACATTTGGTCCGAACTAGATTAGCGGTGCTTGAGCATACTATAGCACTGAACACAGAATTGCTAGAGCACATTACGGTTTGACATTTGTAGTACATTCATATACATAAACTGATAAATAATGACATGTCAAGTACATAAGAGGTACTACTAAGTTTAACTGTCTAAGTAAATACACATGCACGCAGGCGATAACTTTTGAAAACTGTTTAAAATAAATACAATTGAATTACTTAATTCAAAATAATAATATTATAAATATTGTGCGGACAGAGAAGAAAGAAAAAAAAATTACACATTAAATACCTAATGAAAAATTGATTTTTTAATGGGTAGTGACTATCTATAACAAAGTGAGTGTGCAATAGGAAAACTAATCAATTTACTGACAGGTACCTACATAAAAAAAATTCACAAAATTCAAACAAAACAAATTTAATATTATATTGGATATGTGAAAGAAATAATTCTACGAGTCGGGCATTTGATTTAAAAACCATATGGACTTCTGCCAAAAATATAATTTCATTTGTAATTGAAAAAGGTAAAAAATAATAAATATCTACATGTCAGAATTATAAACTGTGTTTGAATTCCATAAATGTCGTAGAAATAAATATCAAAGCGGATACATCCATCAATATACTTACAACCTACTGATACATAATTTCGTTTTGTTGTCCCCTTAAAATAAATTCAATTTAAACTTATAGTTTTATTGCAAGAGGATTAACATAGTTTTACACCTACCTTTAACGGCAACCGGTTGCCTATTAATATGTTTTAAGGTTTTAAACGATTCTTTAATTTGAACGAATCCTCTTTTTGGAACTTCTTTCAAGGAATGTAACTTGTTTTCCTTGTCATCGTTTCGGATGTCCGGGGGATTGGGAATCGGTGTTCGACTCTTGGTGCTTTCCATCTATTACGCATTACACACACTGACACAAAAATAAAACGGGAAAACGACTTAGGTTTTACTGCGAAAATTTTAATTGAAAAACGAATTGGCGGGTGCCTAACGATAAAGCCAAACGACAATGATAAACGGTAAAAAAAAAAAAAACGAAGTGCGGGTGAAATTTTTATTTTCAAATAAAAACGAAATTTATCGATTTTATTTACTATTTACCATTGTACCAGCGCGTTATCAATCACTTTGTTATGTTTGATAAACGCCGTAACGGTGTGACCAACGTCAAGAAAACGTGAACCCAAAGCGACCGGCACCCACGGATGCCGCGAACGCCAAAACGTCGTACTTGTTACGCGTCGTACGTTTATTGTTGAATAATTCCATTATCGTACGCTTGAATTCAACAACAATACGAATACGATACGCGCGTGCGTGTGCAAGCTGTGAATGTTTTACTTGCCGGCCCGTTTCCTGCCGGCGGCTTTTATCGGGTACGCTACCGGGTCGTTACGTAAAGGACATCGATTGATATTAAACCGATACGTTACGTCTAAACGCCAATCCCCAAAAAAAAAACGTACACGGTCACTGCATATTACGCGCCCCTTGCTGTACGCTATTGCCGCGAAATCTATTTTTACGACGACCTACGCTCGTAAACCTCCGACGTCGTACGGTTCAGTCGGGACCGCGTCGGAAATCCGCAGCGAAATATTCGAATCGGTTGAACACGATATTATTATTAAACCCGCGACGGAGGTCCAATAAGGTTTCCGGAAATAATATGTGTGTGTGTGTTTTTTATTTCTATTCGACAGCGGTAAACGCGTTTTCCATTAGAAAAAAAAAAAAAAAAAAAAACGGAAAAACTATTAAACTTCGTTTTTCTCCGTTTAACACCATAATTAAAACGTAAGACGACGACGACCGCGTTTGGCAAAAATCAAAATATTACAATACCTAACGTCAGGTTATTGTCGGTGCCCTGCTTCGGCCGTCGTTTTTATTTAGAGGAACCTATCCGTCGTGTTGCTGTTACACTAACGATAGCGGCGCGTTGTTCGATAATAGCGCGGGCGCCCACCGAATGACGAACGAACCCAAACGGACCGCGTAAATTAGGGAATTAGTGTAACGCAGACGTAACACGGGTACGGAAAAAAAGGAAAAACGTCGACGGTCTCGTGAGCAAAATAAAAGCAAAATGAACATAAACTACTCCGTGCGGTACAAGCGCCTGTAGACAACGCCTGCGTGAAACGGGGTTTTTTTTTTTTTCGAATTTCGGTAGCGCGGGAGGGGTTTCGAACCCCCGAACCTACTCCCTACCCGTATCCCAACGGGGACGCGCCGGCCCGCCAACAGCGCTGAACAGGCGGGTAACGAATTCGACATTTGTATAGCCATTGATAAACAGGTACTCACCAATAGGTAGGAGGCGTCGACTGTGTTCCGCCGCTTTACCCTTTCTCTCTCTCTCCCCCCCCCTCCCCCGTAAACGGAATACGATTTTTCCGCGAGATACCGTGCGCGGTCGATGCGCGCGATTCACCATAACAGCCCGTCTAGGGCCTCGCCCGTTACGGGGCCTCGCGTTCTGATCGGTCTCACAATGACGGGCGCGGCGCGGTGTCTCCGTTTCGTGTCTGTAAAACTGACGATCCCGAAATAATTCTAATTCCGGAACGTACAACAACACGTACGTTTTTTTCGCGGAGGCTGTTAACCGCCATTTTCGGCGACAGACCGATTAGCCACAACCGATTCGCCACCAGCCTTTTCTACTAGAAATCTTACTCCGGTCATCTCTAGGGGTGGTTTCTAGTAGTAGATTCCGCGGTTTTGGCGCATTTCAGTATTTCGTTTGTTCGCGGTTACTAACACGTTTATGCTTATGAAGCTGATCTATAGAAAAAATCGAATTGAATAGTATTTATTCCTGCAGATGATAAGTTTAAAATCGTCCTATGCAGGTGACTGAAGTGCTGTTTTACTCAAAAACAATAACACCATTAACAGCAGTACCGTCGGTACAATTTGCGGGGCCCGGGGCACAATTCTTTTAGCAAGGCCTAAAGGACAAAATGTGATGCTTTCCACACAAAGGCAATTACACTGCCGTAGGCCGTAACCACTCCCGTTTCAAAATGAAAACATACGTGAAATGTTATTACCGGTTACTCTTATTTTATTCTTAAATTTGCTTTTTTTTTTTTATTGTGCTAATGTAAACATCCAAAAACGTATTTTGCATCACACACGCATGATGAAAAACATTTATATTTATTTATAGATCCCCTCATATTTTTTTCTTGTTCTATTCTAGCTTCCTTTGCTCTTTCTATTTTCAAATATTTCCTATCCATATCGCTGTAAGGCTCGGATTTTATATCACGGCCTAATTATTAATTATATGATATCTAAAGATAAAAATAGCAGGCCGAGCTTTACGTTTTGTCTTATGTACCAGACTCCAAATATGAAATTGTATACTAATATTTTTGCATATTTGAAGCATTTAAGATTTTTGCTGCTATTTTTTAATTTTTGGGTGCTATATTTTTTTTTTTTTTTTTGCTGATTTGCATAACATAATTATTTATTTTATATTTTCATAAATAGTGGAAAAAATCTGAAAAATTATAACATAACATAAATATTATAGTCTATTTGTGTGTAGCCTAGCGTGTTGTAGAGATGTGTAGTTCACAAACGATTCCGACGATTTAACTAATGTTTTGAATTCTTTTTGAATTTATTAATTTTCAACTCCTCCTTCGATTATGTTTATATATTTAAAAAACAAATAATCCTATAACAAAACCCATATCAAATCATTATGTACAAATTTTAGCAATTTCTTCATTCCTCATTATCGTTCTACGAAAACATGATATCAATAATATTATAATGATAATTACACTGCGTATAGAGGACTATATTATTCACTTTAATCATCATAAATTATACTTACTGTACAAGTATATTCGTTTTAAATATTGTTAAGTAAAATTCAAAATTATATATCTATGGTTTGGTGCAAGAAGGGCTAATGTCATTTTCTTGAAAAAAAATCAGTTAAAAATAAAAAAGAAAGTGTGTAATTTTTATTTTCAAAATTAAATTTTTTTAAATTTTTAAAAAAATTGAAAATAACAAACATTTACACTTAATAAAATGCATAGAGCCTTATGGGGGATTAAAATTTCAAAGCCCATTTCTCAACAATCACAAAAATGTGACATTGGCCTTTCTTGCACCAAGCCACAGATTCCGTATTATATTTGTGAATCGTTGTTAAAAAGAAAACTGTCTCCCCAATTGAAATAAGTAAATTTGGTTTTAAGTAATATATTTTTATTTGTTAACACTGTATTTGTATTACAAATGTATATAACTTGCACGGAGCCCGGGACGTGAGCCCCGCTCGCCACAATCTTAGGACGGCCCTGATTGGCAGTGGGGTACCTAGAGGGGACCGCTACCATTGGCCACGATAAATATAAAAAAAATGTATAAACTTTCCAGCATTGAAACATTATCGATATTTTTGTAAAATCAAATTCGGTTTATGTTAGCTTTTTATACAATTTTTTCTAATTTTATTCCTATCTGGATGAAACTTTGCTATGCTAACTTTGTCTATTTTTTATCCCGAAACTCAACCCCTAACAATTGACTGACCCAGAGTTTTTGGTATTTTTAGAATCAAAATGAAACTTTTTCTGTTGATTTATGGGTAACTTTGGTAGT